CACCCAAAGGGGGAAAAAAATTGAAACCCATATGTTAAAAAAATGAAAAAGAAAGTAATCAGGCATAATGACCACCAAGTAGTAGTAACTGAGAGTATTTCATTAATTTGCTTTAATTTGATCTGAAAAAATAACCTGGGTTGCCTGGTAGACTTCTCTTCTTCTTTGGTGGTGGTGCTTGACTTGTTGGAGCTAAAGACTGTCGTGGGTACAGTGTGCCAGTCTCAAATCTGGTACCTGAAGCACTTACTTCTCCAGATGTTGAAGTCAAATTGGACATACTCTCATCGACCACCAAACCTTTCATCATCTCTCCCCGCATATATATATATATATATATATATATATATTCAATTACTGGATTTTGTGATGATGATACAAACTATACAAGATTGACTTGATGACAAAGCCTATAGCCCTCTTATACATATATATCAACTTTACAATATATGACAGAATGTCCTGAGATCTACTTATAAATGAACCCTAATTTAGAAAGGCTAATATAAATGGGAAAATAATTAATAACAATGCAAGAAGAGTAGCTTATTTCAGTTTCTTCCTTCCTTACTAATAAATCCCAATTTCTCAGTATCTTCCTGATAATTCTTCTAGTGTTTTTTTTATTTGCTTTTAATTTCAGCAAGTTCTTGAAACTTGAATTGAAGCTATAAACAAAAGATAGATGATGTTGTAAAATGAAAATAACACAAGAAGATCATTGAACAAACGCCACACAAAAACTTACAAACTGAACACAAAAAAAAAAAAATTTACTGTATAAGTATGTAAACGAGAACTGAAAAAACATGAGAAAGGGAGATGTAAGAGAGAGAGAGAGAGAGAGAAAATGTGGATGAGAAGAGATTCCTGAGAAGCACTCCACTCATACAAAACCGAAGCCAACAGGCTTGTTTATGACGTTGCACTTTCTGTCTTTTCTTTTGTTCTCTTTTTAGTCTTATTACTCTTTGAGAAAATAAAAGAAAAAACAATTCTTATTCAATTATGAATTTTTCTTCATAAAATAATTTCTTGCTGTCTTCAAAAAACAGACTTATTTCCCATTTTCACACCACCTTTCCTCTTCACATAAAAAGTAGACATAAAGCAACCCAAATCAAAAAGATAGTAGTAGGATTTTACATCCTAAATATAAACAGATGCACAAATGTTAAGGAGGAGAGACAGATGATGGTTATAAGCAAAGTTGATTACAGGCTTTTAACATGATGGGTAAAAGGAGTTAGAAAGCAAAACCTCTTTCTCCTGTGAAACTTACATAAACATGATTGGTTCAGTGATTGAATTCCATTTTCCAGCAGACATGCTCCTGGAAAACAGCTCCCAAATTTTTTTTAACTTAATATTCTTTTAAATAATTACTTTTAATTTAAAAAGCTACTAATCTCAGTAGAAAAATGATCTGTTTATAAAGAGAGGCAGTCGGTCCCCAAATATGCTGCCCAACCCATCATCACTTAAATTATTGTTGGTGTGAGAGAGAGAGAAAGAGTGACAGCAACATGGTCATAAGGCAACATGAAGGTCAAGAATACCTAGAGGCCAAAACAAGGAAATGCATAAGTTCCTGAGTCATGAATGATTGAATCTTGTGAAAAAACAATTTTGTTAACACATTTTAGTTAAATCTGTACTGTGATATATAGTATAGAATTTGATGCTAACAGCTTTTGGTTTAGGCGTAAAACAAGGATATGGAGTAATATCACGACTCAAAAACTAATATTATCTACCTATAGCCATTGTTAGCGAGTATCCTAAAAGCACTAGTTAATTAAGAAGTTAATTTCAGGAAATATCTTTGGATAACTCTATTTTTCTAATAAAATCTTCTTAAAATATTTTCATAGTATTTTTTGGTTCTTTGAATCCTAAATTATATATCCATATATGTTCTTGAGTCAAAATTTGGCCGCTTAAGATAAGAATTAAGATGATCAAAGAGCCAACAAAAATGAAAAAAAAAAGTTGACTGCTGTCGACCCCACTCTACACACTCAAATAGATCTTACAAAACAGAAAAAATGTGACATGCTTTGGAGATACATTGTCTATATGTTTTATTCACAGTAGCTTTTTGTCTCCACACTATCAAATGGGTATTAAAAAAGTTGGGTTTAATTTGTTTTCATTTATCATTTTCAGCTTTTAATTTGTTTACTAATTTCAGTTTGGTTTTAGTATAGTTTCATTTCCACCATTATATGCTTCCAGCTCACCATTCCCTTATTTTAGACCTTTTAGTTATTTTATTATTATCCCAATATCAACATCATGCCTCAATTAACAAGCTTAATAAATCCCTTAAACACAGTTAACAAAAGGGGTTATAAATATTTAATTTATTACCTTGCTGCCATAGGCCTTATGATTTTTTTTCATCCAATTCTGTGTTCCCAAGAGGTAGCTTCAACCAATATATTTGAGTAAAACATAAATGTATGCAATGTTTCCCCCGTGATGTGAAAAGGCTTTGGGTGTTGTTAGTGTTGTTGGGGATGGCATCCAATATTTGTATAAAACCAGATGAAAATGTCATTATCTCATTTCTTTTCATTACCATGTCATATCCAACTTTAATTCATCTCAACCGACATTTCATGGATACCAAACAGATGAAAAGTAATAAAAATCCTTTTATCAAATTGTAAACTTCTTTCTTTTCATTGACTATGGAATAAAAAAAACATTTTCCATAAAGAAGAAAGTAATGTTATACATCAACAGTACTGTAGAAGAAAGAAGAAGAAAGGCGAAAACCAGAGTCAACACTTGTGCTATCATTCTCTCCATATAAAGGCACAGTGAAGGTAAGATGTAAGGCTGTGTTGCTTGCCACTCTCTAGACTTAGACCATAAAAAATTTTCTATGGATTTCCAAAAAAAGAGCATTCTCTCTCTCAAATTTCCCCTCCTAAATCAGTATAAATTGGATAGATATGTATTCTAGTGCACAACTTTTGATGTGGGCTGTTTCAATAATAGAAGGGAATATTGACAGACATTGACATGAGATATTTTGAAGAGTCTACACTACACTTGTACAGGATATGAAAATCTATTAAATGGGTCTTGAATGGTAACGGATACAGAGTTCAACAAGAACTTTCAAAGCCAAGCTTTAAAAAAAAAAAAAAAAACCTGAAAAAACAATTCCAGGGTAGCATATTTATGGAGAGATATTGTAAAAGCAATAGATATTGGAATATTTATTGAGAGAAAATTTGGCTCCACAAACCCTGAAGATAAGAATCATAAACGGAAACGTCAATCTTATGAGGTAGCATTTCGGTTCTATTAAGCTTTTATATTTATTTTTTATTTTTTCAATATTTTAAAAGTAAAAAAAAAGGGTAAAATCACATAAAGGGTTTACAATTTTGAAATGACGATCAGAGAGACAAGATAAATTAATGTTTTAATGTCATCTTAGTGATGTATTCTACAAATACTAGCGGACAATACAAAAGTTGGCTGCAGGGACCCTAAGGCCTGGCTGTTTTGAGACTCTAGGTTTACAGCAACAGCTGTTGACGTTGTTCATTCAGATGTGGACCAAGTTATCCACATGGTTGAAGACCCACTAGACTCTAGTCGCATGCCACACTTCTTTGAATCATGTATTTGGGTACGTGATAGCTGTAGGCTATACAAAGGAAATAATGAATAAGGTTGGAAAAGAAATGCGACACATGGAAACTGAGAATGAAATCATGAAAGAAATGGAATAATCATTCCTGTTTTTCAAGTATTGTGTATGTAGGCTTGGAGAAATTTCTTGGGAAAATGTTGGTGTTGGAAATGATTACTCCGATTTGCATTATTGTTGGTTTTCCAGCTCTCTTTTGGTGACAATTTTTAGCTACCAAAGAGAGAGGGTGGAAATGAAGGGACTTTACATTGGAGTTGCCATTTTGGTTAAAAATCTATGTATATAGTATTCCATTCCAATTTGGAAGAGAATCACTAATTATTATTTCTCATCTTATAAAGAAGAATGACAAATCAATAACAAGGAAGGCGCGCTACATAATAATGGGTTTCAGCCATGCCAATTTGCCATTTACATGCTGTATTTGAAGGGAATGGTCAGAGTTTTTTTAGCATTAGTATGGTAAAAGTGGTCTGAGCTCGGTCAAATCCAAAAAAACATAAATTATTCAAAAAATATTTTTATTAATTACACAATATTTCAAGTCAGATCAAACTTAAAAGCTTTTATCCAATATCTGGTCCAAATCATGCTAGGTCCAGACAAGTCTACTTCAATTAGGGACATTGAGGTGTAAGGGCAGTAAAAAGTAGCTGCACTAATGATTAAAAAAAAACCTTGGTTCTGCTCCTCAACTCTGTAATAATGGGGGGGAGAAATTATTTTTGTTACAGGGGCTAAGGTTTATGTTGTATGTAGATATAAAATTGAGTTTTTTCTTAATTATTCATTGACTTATATATCTTAATTTTTTTACCATAATATAATTAACATGTTTCATAACAACTCATTTTTGGCCTATCCTTTCACTTTCTGGCTTTTTGCATTAATATCTTCATTTTTCCTCTGTATAAGTATCTATCAGTTGACTATGTATAACATGGCAGGAGCAAAATAAAAGGTGATTGTTCCAAATTTTTATATTTGTTTTACATGACATGTGATTATTGAATAAATTCAAATATGGAATCCATCAATTTCTGGGTAAATCAATTAATTTATAAATATTGCAATCAAACCAATAATAAAATATCATGTCAGAAACAACAAAATTTTGATGTAAAAGTAGTGTGATGAACGGGATTTTCCATGGCTTTCTCTTTGTCTCTAATAGGAGTATCTGTTTTTTACTTAGGTTAATAAATCATATATTGACAAATTAAGGTAGTGCAAGTTTTTCTTTTATTTTAATTAAATGAGAATTTATCACACGCAACGAATAAATAGTCAGGCTTACACCAGCAATCATGAATGATCCATGATGTAAGGGAAGTTATCAGATCACTCTTCCACGTCAACATGGCATCCACTTGACAATTTTTTATTGCAAATCAAGAATTAATTAATAATCTCTTTCTTTTAATTATGGAGTAATTCTTGAATTGAACATTAGATTTGACAATTGAGCTTATTTTTCTTCAAATAATACATGTCAGAACAGTTCAGGGACTTTAAATTAGTATAGCAAGTTACAACCTGCTCGGGTTGGGACAGATAAAGACATCATCGGAAGATTCCTGGATTGTCTGGACATGATTCCTTATAAGTGTGTAACTTCTGTCTCAAGTACCTAACGAAGAGGCAGTCTTTAGTCTATGATCTCAAGACAGAGCCATTGGTTTATTCCAGCCCTTTGAGAGAAAATGGATTTATCTTTACTTTTGTTATTTGGGTTATCTTGTATTCTGCTAAGCAATGGAATTAAAGTGGAAGACTGTGATCATCTGACAGACAATACGAGTTTTCAATCCTTCCAGGTTCTAGTACCAGCAGAGCAGCCTTACAGAACAGCCTATCACTTCCAACCTCCTCAAAACTGGCTGAATGGTATGACAAGCTAGCTTTACTAATCGTTGTTCTTACAACATCATATTCTTTCCAAATATCTAGATATTCTAAAACCCTTTTTTCTTTTTTAAGATTTCTTTCTTTTTTAGTGATTTTTTTTTTAATCTTTGTTTGGTATCAATACATTCAATCGACTGCTTCAATGATGGGATAAATGGGTAACATTGACTACACAGATCCTAATGGTAAGTAGGCAACTTCATTTATGTTTCAAGTTACCGTTTCTTTTCTCCTTGCTCATGGTGGTTTGGAAACAGCATATAATGAATCCATCCCCTAGATTTCCTCAATGTTTGGAGTACAATTCAGCACTCTACCTGTTAGTTGGAAGAAAATTTGAAACCAGAAAAAAAAGTCAATGTTAGCATGTGTAGTATCAAATAACCAGGTTGTTTCTAAAATCCAGGAATGAGCAATTTTAATTGCCTCTGGAAGAATAATAGAAATTGTGGAAGACTATCTGAGATCAGAAGAAGTGTTTTTAGATCCTTATGTGTTGCAATGCACCTGGATTACTTCTACTAGTTTACAGTTCTATAATGGAAAATAGATGTATATAATTAGATTAAGCAGATATGAAACAATTTTAGTATTCAATCCTAGCCATCATTTCTTAGATAGGACCAGAGTAGATGAATTTGAGCTAGCATGTTAAAACTTAAAACAAGGAGCTTTTCTAACCAGTGAAATAAGACTAGTAAGACATTGTTCCATCTAATGCAGGGCCAATGTACTATGAGGGAATTTATCATTTGTTCTACCAATACAATCCACATGGTGCATTGTTTGGTGATAGTATGTTGTGGGCACATTCTGCATCATATGATCTTGTTAACTGGTTCAGTCTTGATCATGCACTCATTCCATCTGAGCCATTTGACATAAACAGTTGTTGGTCGGGTTCTGTTACAATCCTCCCAGGGAATAAACCAGTTATTTTATACACTGGAATAGATGCTAACAATAACCAGGTTCAAAACCTTGCAACCCCAAAAAATCTATCGGATCCATTGCTAATAGAATGGATCAAATACTCCGGAAATCCTCTAATGACTCCACCAGATGGTGTCGAGGGGGATAATTTTAGAGATCCAACAACTGCTTGGCAAGGTCCAGATAAAACCTGGAGAGTAGTCGTTGGAAGCTGGAGCAATAACCAGGGAATGGCCATTCTCTACCAAAGTGATGATTTTGTTCACTGGACTAAGTATCAAGATCCTCTTTATTCATCAATAAAAACTGGGATGTGGGAGTGTCCGGACTTCTTTCCTGTATCTATTAATAGCACCAATGGGGTTGACGCTTCTGTCAAGAATCCAAGTGTTAGGCATGTCATGAAGGCAAGTTTCAATTCTCATGACTACTATATAGTGGGGACTTATGTTACTGAGCTGGAAAAATTTCTTCCTGACACTGACTTTACTGGAACAAGTCTAGACTTGAGATATGATTACGGTAAATTCTATGCCTCAAAGACATTCTTTGACAGCAAGAAGAACAGGAGGATAATGTGGGGTTGGGTAAATGAATCTGATAGTACAGAAGATGATATAGAGAAAGGGTGGTCTGGACTTCAGGTGATTTACATAGACTTTGGATATCTTATATATTTATTGATGTAACCACTAACTTACTTTGAGTATGGATCGATGTCTTAGAAGCAAACTGATCCTCAATGGTTGCTGGACAATCCTTTGCAGTCAGTTCCTAGGCAGATTTGGCTTGATAAAACAGGAAAGCAATTAGTGCAGTGGCCAGTAGAAGAAATCAACAGTCTACGTGACAATCAAGTCAGTATTTATGGTAAGCAACTTGAAAGTGGATCAATTTTTGAAGTTTCAGGCATCACGGCTTCACGGGTGAGTACTCTATTGTCTTATATTACCACCGTCATATATCATAATTTAGTTTCTATTTTCTCATGAAACAGTTTCCCATTTACATTTCTGTAAATTCAGTCATATTTGAAGTAATTGCATTATCATGACAATTTTCTTACCATGTTGGAAGGCTGATATAGAAATAATGTTTGAGTTACCTGAACTAGAAGAGGCTGAGTTCATGAATAGCAGTTGGGTTGATCCCCAACTAATCTGTGACAGAGAAGATGCATCTGTCACTGGAACATTTGGACCATTTGGTTTATTAGCTTTGGCAACAAAGGACTTAACAGAACAAACAGCAATTTTCTTTCGGGTTTTTACAGGCCAAAAGGGATATAGAGTACTTATGTGCAGTGACCAGAAGAGGTTGGCTACTAACCTAGAAAGACAGACATCCCTGCCCCCTTCTTTCCAGAACCATCCACAATTGTGCAATAATCATCCATATTGATTTGGTTCAACGTTAAAATATGTGTTCGCAGGTCTTCTTTGCGAAATGAGTTAGATAAAACCACATATGGAGCCTTTGTAGAAATTGATCCTAGCCAGGAAATGATTTCACTAAGAAGCTTGGTGCGGTGATTTGCGTTTACCATTTTTTTTTTTTTTTTGTGAATGCCTTTTTGGTGTGTTGATTTGTTTTTACCGTTTGTTTGTTTGGTCCAACTATTGCAGATAGATCACTCCATAATAGAGAGTTTTGGAGGAAATGGAAAGACTTGTATCACCACTAGAGTTTATCCAAAGCTTGCTGTCAACAATGAAGCCCACCTTTATGCATTTAACAATGGAACTCTCAGTGTAACAATTTCAAGATTGAATGCCTGGAGTATGAACAAAGCTAGGATTAACTGCAGGGGAGGTTTGGAGAATACAGCATCATGCTAGAAAAGAGAAAACATATCTGAGGCCTTCTTGATTTATTCCACACTATCCATGTGGTGAAAGCAATAACAAGCTGGCCCATTTTTTTATGTCTTGGCAATCACAGTTACTAATACAATGGTCATTGGTGAAACTTTTGTAGTCTATATGTTCATTTTCCTTCTGTCTCTGGATTTGCAAGCCCCAAAAAGGACTTTTGAAAAACTTAGAAATGAAAAGAAAACACTTTTATTCAACCTTATAAAAGAGCTAAATATTGCTTGATTTTTACTATTATTATGCTTCTTTGCCTTCTAGTGGTGCTGAAATGATGGGTGAGGTTTTATAACGGCACAAATCAATGACTAGTGCATTGGGGCCACCAAAAGTGCAGTCACAAGGCAAGATCTCTCATTTATCTCATCGGGAAATCAATTAACCTTGTTCTCTTCCTGGGGACTCTTGAAATTTGATTTTGGAATCGCTGAGATTTAAAAAAAAAAAAAGGCCAGTGAAGATTCCTTGAAGTTGGGGTTGATTAGGCCAATTCCCTATGTCATATTCATAACATGGCAGAAACAAGAAACTTTAACAACCAGTCTAAGACCCAAGTTCATCTCGTGGATACTACTTCAGGGAAACAGATACGTCTACCCTTGATAGAACCAAAATTTTCGTTTTAAAAGTATACTTGGTAGATTTCCACCTTGACCTTAACTGGCCTGTATAATAAATATTGATCTGTGTTTACTTAGAGAATTTGAAGTCTTATAATATTGATTGATTATATCTGATATGATAGTTATATATTTCCAACTCCAGCTTTGTTACAATTTTCTTAATGATGAAAAACTAGGCATATAGTCAAAACAGACAAATTTGGATAGATTATTAAACTAGACTTGTCTCTGTCTACTATATTCTAAATTGATTTACATAGAATAATAATACAACTTGTCAACCAGGCGGCCATTTAGCTTGTTACTGAGTTTATTCAGATGCTTATAAAAATGCAAAGTTGACAATGCAGCTTACTTCATGAAAATGAGGCGAAGATTGTTTGATCTTACCTTCAAAATACTCCTTCCAATTTGCACATATTCTCATAGAAAGTGTGTGCCAACATTGAGTCATTTGCAATGGCTAAATCTGTTATTTGGATTGTTGGGTTATGCTTTGCGATGGTTGGCAATGTAGTTTACGGCTCTCATATGAATGACAAAAATCCTAAGCCTTCTTCAATAAGGCAGCCTTATAGGACTGCCTACCATTTCCAACCTCCCAAATATTGGATGAACGGTATGAACGGTATGTTTTCAGGAACTTTATCTGTTTCTGCAGCAACAAAATTTGCTGTTTAACAACATTAGGTTTGCTTTAGCTTTAAAAAATGTTGATTTTTTTTCCTTTGGTTTGACATGTAATCTGCAAATGGACACTAATGGCAATGTAGATCCCAATGGTAAGCCTGTTCCTTTCTCCTTATTGTACTGTTTATATATAATTCTTGATCTTTTTACATTTTTTTTTCTTTCACTTTACTTTCTGGATTAGGTATGTTTCAATTATCAGAAAATCTACTGTATGATCCATACCTTGTAACTAAATACTCTCCTAGCAGCATAATTAACTAAATCAAAATTGTTATTTGATTCAGTCAATAGGAAAGATATTTTGAGTACAAACTCTTTGAATAAAGTTTCCTGGTGATGAGAGAACAATCCTTTCTTTCTCTGAAATTTATGAAGCGAAACTGAAGCATGGCATGGCATATCATTCTTTAGAGAGCATAATGAACTACAGATCAAATTTTGAAATTTCACAGTGGTAAATCTTTTCTGAAAGTTTGATCTGACACCATTGTCTTCACCTATAACAGGACCGATGTACTTGAATGGAGTTTACCATCTGTTCTATCAATACAATCCTTATGCTGCAGTGCCGCGCAACAAGTCATGGGGTCATTCAGTATCATATGATCTTGTTAATTGGATTCATCTTGAGCATGCACTTGATCCAGTGGATCCTTATGACTTCAATGGCTGCTGGTCTGGTTCAACCACATTCCTTTCCGAGGGAAAACCTGCCATTCTCTACCCAGGAGTTGATACTAAAAGTCGTCAAGCTCAAAATTTGGCACTGCCTAAGAACCTTTCTGACCCCTTCCTTAGAGAATGGGTAAAATCTCCTCGTAATCCTCTTATGACCCCCATTGATGGTATTGACCAGAAGTATTTTAGAGATCCAACAACTGCTTGGAAAGGTCCTGATGGTTTATGGAGAATCTTAGCTGGAAACCAAATGAATGGCGTTGGAACAGCACTTCTATATCGAAGCAGAGATTTTGTTAGTTGGAGTAGAAGTAAGGTTCCTCTTCACTCCTCCAACAAAACAGATATGTGGGAGTGTCCTGATTTCTATCCTGTTGCCATCAATGGTAAAATTGGAGTTGACACCTCGTCATTAGATAAATCAAACAAGCATGTGCTCAAGGCAAGCTTCAATCACCATGATTACTATGTACTAGGAAAGTACACGCCCAAAGGAGACAAATTTTCAGTTGACATTGACTTTATGAATACTAGTTCGGATTTGAGATACGACTGTGGAAAGTTTTATGCTTCAAAGACATTTTTTGACAGTGGAATGAAGAGGCATATCTTGTGGGGATGGGTAAATGAGTCTGACAGTGAATCGGATGATATCAAGAAAAGTTGGTCCGGGCTTCAGGTGATCGAAACTCTTTGAGTGCATTAATTTGTAGATTTGACGTTACAAATTTTTTAACAGGTCCTCATTGAGAGAAGGGCCTGACAAAACTACCTATGGAGCTTTCATTAACATAGATCTTCGTCACGAAAAGATTTCTCTGAGGACTTTGGTATGCTGCTTCCTTAGCAATTGATTCAAATTGGCAACTCATCCACTGATTTTAAACTATTCAAGGTTCTCTGAAGTTTCTGTCTTGACTTAGAATTCATCTCTTTTCTTCCCATTTTGTTCTTTGACCATATTCATGTTTACAGATTGATCATTCCATAATTGAGAGCTTTGGTGGGGAGGGGAGAGCATGCATCACTGCCAGAGTTTATCCCAAGCTGGCCATTGATAATCAAGCCTACCTATATGCATTCAACAACGGCACTTTTGATGTCACTATTTCAACCCTCAATGCCTGGAATATGAAGAAAGCTCAAATAGTTTCTGCCACTGCCACAAAAAGAAGAAAGCCATATCTCAACTGAAACAACATCAGTCAACTGCGACCACATCATTTTAGCAAGTTTAATATCATTCTTCTTCAGTCACCCTTTCACTTAATAATAGTAGCATCTTTGCCTTATGCTCCCGTAGGCGGTATCACTTAAGACAACAACCTTTTTGACGTTACCAACTCTATGTTTTTGTTCACTTTTGGTACAAGAATTAATTATAACTAGTACTGAGTTCAATTATGAATCTAATACTATGTACCACTTTTCTTAAAACTTTTGAATGTCCAATTAAATCTAACCTTTTCGATTCAACATGAAGCTATTATAAAAATATAATATGCTGAGTAAAAGTCAAGACACAATTAAGAATCCACAATTAGATAGTTTTGGAAATTCAAAGGGATGATTGATTGTATCTTCCGTACGGTTAGAGAAGAAGGCATTCTTTCTTTATGGAGAGGCAATGGAACTAATTTTCTCAGATATTACCCTTCTGTTGCTCTTAATTTCTCCCTCAAGGTAATAAATTTATCAAATTTGTCATCTTTCCCTTTTTTCCTCTTGGTTTTTGGTATGAAGTGGAATGAACGGAGTGATTTTTTTGGATATTTAGAATGAATTAATGGGTTGGCATGGTTGTTTTAGTCTTAGTAGATCTTATTTGGAGATGGGTTGTTGAAATTTCGGAGTTTTGGGAGGTGATATTGTGTGCATGTGAACTGAATGATATAATGTTTCTTCGAGATGTGATGTTATTCTTATTACATTGGATGTACTTAACTCGAGATACTAATTTGTTCAATTTCTTAACAGGAGATTCTAGGGAAAGAGACCTTACCCAGTTGATTTGTTTGTCCACGTAGCTACTTGCAACTGTAATTTCCTCAGGGCATTGCTGTTTGTGCAATTACTGGTATAATTCCCACGTCAATCTTAGTTTGATAATGATTCCTAGGTCAATCTTATTCATGGAGACTTGAGAATTTGAGAAACCTATCTCCTGTAATAATATCCTAATCTCCAAGCTGAATTTTGTTTAGCCTACTTATTAGGTAAGGGACCAAATTGCGGTTCTTTTTTGCTTTTTTCCCGTTTCCATCTTGTCCTTGGAAAATGTCTTCGTTTGAGTTAATAAGTCTGGTGAATTTATGAAACATGCTAGTCTGTAACTTTTCTTTTATCAGCAAGTCCAATCTTATAGTGTCCTTTATGGCACCAGTTCCAATATAGCCTGCAAGGAAACTAGAAATCCTTGGACATGGACAAACTTATTGGTCATTTTACTTCCATGTAGAACCTTTGATAGTCTTATTCCTATTGCTCAACCTTATCTCAACTGCTATAGATGCTTTCTTGCTATTTTTCAGATGGTTAGCAATTTTCCATGAAGATGAGGCTTTTTATTCTCTTTTAATTCTTTTTGTTTTCGGCATGCACGGATTTTTGGCTTTAATCGATAAAAATTAGAGCATTTAGAATGGTTATAGAAGGACCAGTTATAGAGGACAAGTTATAGAAGATATGATATGAAGTTAGCAATTTTATCACGTTTTTATTTTGGCCAAAGAAAGGAAATTTTATCATCGATTAATTATCTTAGAGAATGGGGAAATTGATAGAGAGGTCACTCATAGAATCCAGATCTGCGGGATGGCACAGGGAAATGCATCAGGAATCTTAACTGATTGTAAAATTTCACAGTTCGGCTGTCAAACTAGCAATGTTGTATTGGTTTCAATGCTGGACTACAAGTATTAACATATGGAAAAAAAAAAAAAACGTGGCTTAGATGGGAATGTTATTCTAGATGTCTGTAGTGCATATATATTGAAAGATACAATTAGAAATATGAGAGAAGTGACAGGATACTTACCCATTGAGGACAAATGAGGCCATCCTCATGTAAGGTGCCCATGTAAGGAGGAGAAATACAAATTGTACATAAGATGTGATTTGACCAAGAATATAACTTCTGTGTCAAGAAAAATATATGAAGACTAAAGAGGACATGGATGGAAACCAAAAAAAAAAAAAACCTTGCTTACTGAGTTTGCGAGGGATGTATTCCTGAATAGTGCTCAATGATGCAATATATTCATATAGCCAACTCTACCTAATGGGAAAATACATAGTTTGTAATGATAGGATTCTTTGTGTGAGTTCTAATATATCACCTAGGTTATGAATCTTTGAGAATGGTTGAAGCTTCTAGCACCCTTTTGTGTAGTGTAAATTACTGGAATCACATTTTTGGCAGAAAATGGTTGGAATATTATTTTGGTGGCTCTGCAGAGTATAAGGAAAACACGTGAGATATAATATACCTTTATACCTGGTAGAGGCAACAGAGGGTTGCCCTTCAGGACCATGGCAGATGAAGAGGGCATTAACCTGCAAGTTTAGTATAGCACAAGGAGCCTTTTTACAGAATAATCAGCTACTGTTAATATGGCGGTGATTCAGTGTTTTGGCTTGTCATATCATATAGGAGTATATAATAAAAGCATGTGACTAAAATCTTAATGTAGTCTAAAGAGACGAAGCTTTCTGAACTTTAAAATCATCCTTTTTCATGAATATTCCTAATCCACCTAGAAAGATGTACATGTTAGCAGTAACCTGGAAATATTTCAAATGAAACTTATTTATTTGTGTTTTTGTGTATACTGTCAAAAGAACCAGTCATAGTGCTATTGACGATAATGTCGTAGGAATAAAATTTAAAGCTGAGGTTGTTTTTTTCTACATGTACGTTCATGTGTCACGACCTGCGCTGCATGGTAGTTAGGCTTAAGTTCCCAGCCGGTGACACATTCGCACATACAATTTGCCTTTTTTTTTCTTTTTCATCTTTTTCTTTTAAGGCGCATTAACCTAGTCTAATCTCAAAGATATCATGATGTTGGAATAATAGGGACAGAAAAGCTAAGAGAGCTATTAACCATATGGCCCTAATAGTGATAGTTGGGATGACAACTCCTGTAAGAAATAACTATAGTGCCACTTCCTGGAAGAGCATTAGGAATAGGTGAGATGAATTTGCCATCAATAAAAAGTTCATATGAATCACGTGATAAATGCTGTTGACACAAGTTGGCAACAGCACATTTGAATTCAGATAAGCTTTTCTTGGTGGTAAGCACGCTTGAAAGTCCCCAAGGGGATAATCCAAGTGTTAAAACTTAAGTCTTTAAATTAAACTAGGAGATCTGAGTTTTGAATCTTGGGGATGGAGGAGGTGGGATTTATGAAATTGTTGAGAGTCGTCTACCTTTTAAGTGGCTCAAGGCCTAATGAGTCTCTGTATGTATGAAAGGATAAAACAGCCTTCAAAATCAGAACCTCAAACATAAACAAATAAAAAAATAGAACTTTTTGCTTGAGTTTTTGAATAAAACTCCGAGAAACTGACAACATCACTGTGTGGTTATCTCTTTAAATACTTAGCATCTCTTTATGCAGAATCTGAATAGAAACATATTAAGAAACGGCTATTTTCAAGATCTTAATCTACCCTCTAGACCTGTCTCACACTCTTCTTGCTTCAGACATTGGGAGAACTGATGTTCGTCAATTCTGAGGTATCTATCATTTCCTGAGTAATATATGCAAAAAAAGATGGAATTCGGGGAATTTACAGGGGTCTTCCTGCCTCTCTACCGGGGATGATTGTTCATCGGGGTCTGTGTTTCGGAGGATTTGATATAATAAAGGAAATTTTGACAGAAGAATCCAAAACTGAATTGGCATTATGGAAGCGTTGGGTGGTAGCCCAGGCTGTGACAACATCTGCTGGATTGTTGTCGTATCCACTAGATACAGTTTGAAGGCGGATGATGATGTAATCTGGCTTGGAAAAACCAATGTACCATAGCCAGCTGGACTGCTGGAGGACGATTTATAGGACAGAGGGGTTAACTTCATTACCGTGGGTTACTGTCTAATGCTTTTAGGAGCACTGGTGCTGCGGCCATCTTGGTTCTGTATTATGAGGTCAAGAGTCTCGTGAATTGGGGTGGATAGTAGTTGAAAGAGAATTTTGACAGTTTTCTTTTTGAACAGAAGGATTAGAGTAGAATGAGATTCATGATTACATCAGGAAAACCTTGTAAAGTGCAGCCAAGGTTGATACACTCAATGCCTTAACATGTAATGGATGACCTTCATTTACCACATTTCATTGCAACTTGCAAAGCTTTTGGCGAGTCACACATCTTGATTTTCCTTAACGAATGAAAAAGAGCAAGTTGCTGTTTACTCTTGTGCTGGAGGTCATTACCAAATTTGTGTCACTTTCTTTACAGTTTTGTCATTGGGGAAGGGGGATAAATTGGGTTCTGTCTAGTTGTTCCTTTCATATCAACATCCACGTCCCAGTATCTGGTATATTCTTGTGGATATCCAGGAGCCGAAACCACATCCATTTACTTATTTCCTTACTGCTTCCAAATATCCCATGGAAAGTTGATATTATGTGAAAAAAAATTCCGACTGTCATTCTGAAAGTCGTTTTCTTCGATGTGATGCTGCTGGGGACAGAGATTGCAGCAAAAACTAATACCAATACTAAGAGGAAGACAGGTACTTCACTTTAACTAAAACAGCAAAAAACTGTAAATCCTGATGTTGTTGCAGTGATCTCATTTTTACTCTCCTGTTTATGTTTAATTCCTGACTCACCAGCACTTCTTTCACTTATTGTCAAAGATTACTGCATTGTTTTCTCTATAATTCTCTCCTTTACTCTTCTTGTTTGTGCTGCCACTGACGTGCTTGCTGTCCAGGAATAGATCATATCACTTTCTAGCCAGATAACGACAACAATCATAATTTCATGTAACAGTTGTAATGAACTAGTGGTACTATTAAGGTCATTGGTGCAAAACATGAGTTCAAGCACTTACGCCTCAGCTTCTCCATAACATCATATGCTGTTTAGTTGTGGGAATATGCTTTAATCAAGAATTAGTACTTCAGTAAAGTAATTCAGTTGTGTTTCTCTGTTTCTCTCTTTGCTTCCCAAAGTGATGTAAGCTTGACTGGTAATGAGGTGGCATTTAGCTATTGGTCAAATTATAATCTGGGGGAGGTGTTAAGTGGAGAGAATTGACAGCCATAAACAATGTGCCCAAACTAGACGGAAAATTTTGGAAACATTAGGTAAGAAAAATTGGACAACAATAAAAATACATGCATACAAGTGGGAACCCCGTAAAGAAGCCGAAGCAAAACCATGACTTCACCCATCAAAGAAAAAGGGCAAAAGAAAACGAAAGGTGATGAAGTGATAAAGTATTTAAAAGATGCTTTTTCCAACTTTTAGACTAAGTTTTTGGACCAAAAACCATACCATTAAGGAACTTTCAGTTGCGTACTTGAGTTTCCCATTTCTCGTTACTTCCGCTTAAAATATATACACAAAAAAACGCTACTATTAATTTCTTTATAACTTTTTTCATCCCACAAGTTGCTTTATAGGGAATCAGAAAGCGATTCTTCTTACGGTGGGCTGTAAAGATTCTAGGTGGGGTCCAGTGATGGGGTAAATCAACAGCATCTCATGGATGCCATGTGTACAAATTCAAAAAATATTAAAAAAAAATCCAAAGGTAACACCCACTCTTGAATCGTGGTTGTGATTTGTGGATTGCTGTTTGATGGTAGTTCTTGTCATCAACCGTGCTGTCTTTTCCAAGCCCAAAGGAAAAAGAATAATTATTTGGGACCCATTTGGCTAGAAACAGATGCTTTAGCTTTTACCCCAGCTCACCCGTTCTTGTTTTCCTTAAATTGGAAAGAACTCCAAACAGCAGATTGTTTTTGGTGACTGTAGCTCTCCCTCGCTACAGGAACATTGTCATTTAGAGCAGGGTTCCTACTTCCTATAAGGACATTCCCGCTTGCTCAGCTTTTATTACTATTGAATAATAATTCCTCATCTCAACATCCAAACATATAAATGCAAATAGTAAGATATTTTACGATACTACTACTTCACAATTCGCATAAATCGTTACTTATTATAAAAATATAGTAAAATCATAAAAAATTAAAAAAAAAAAAGAAGACTTGAAACTTGAAAGCTGAAACCACCCCAAGAGAAAGGTTTAAAAGAGTAAGAAAAATGAGAAACATGATGATGAGACCACGCGCTACACGGCTACAGAAAACCGAAGTGGGTTAGAGTTGGAGTTTGAGAGCACCAAAAAATTGGTAATAAAATGATGCTGTCAGGTGGTTGAACTGAAGCTGTGACGCATCTTCGATTACTGTCTGATGGGTTGGTGATAATTTGGTGCCTTATCTTTGCCTTCAATTTTTGCTGATCTTATTTGTCAGCTACCCTTTCCTTCACCCAATACGCCAATTAGAATATACTAAAAATTACAGCTTCTCACTCACTTCCTTCCTTTACTGTTTAATTTACTTATTATGGCATCTGGGGTGGGGGAGGGAATAGCGTTTTATTTCTTTCTTTTTTCACAGCTCAGTTTCAAGTGTGCTATTGGGATCATCAAACCTTTTCTAATAGTCATTCAAACTTCATCTAAGATCTACTTTGAGTTATAAAAAGAAACCCTTATACTAATATATGTTAATAAGTATATACTAAAAATTAAGAAGAATTGTTGGAAAATCACAATCCATGAAAAATATTGAACCACAAATTGTGGAATGCAATCTGTGAGAGAATCAAACTGAAAAGAACCGTGTAGCAATCCCAGGATATTGTTTCTTTTTTTTTTTTTTGTTTTCTTAATAATAATTGGAAGAATTTTGTCAGATTATGCGACAATGCCCACTTGGATTGGAGCTCGTCATTGTCAGTAAAAAGCATCACTAACCATAACCTCTTCCTCTAAAAACAACCCGGATCAGATTATTAACCGTTCTTTTTCATCTAGAACCTGCCTCGAACAAATTTCAACGGCTCCGATTGCTCAATAATTGGCAATGGACCCCACCTGACTTGAGCTCCTGATCAAACCCCCCCCCCCCCCCCACTCTGACTAGAGCTCCTGAAACACCACAGCTCCAACCCCCATAACACTTCAGAAATCCAACAAGAAGGGAAAAAAAAAAAAGGAAAAAGAAGAAAACTTTCACACACATAATCTCATTCACTTGATTTAATTAATACAATTCTCTAAATACTATATTCAATATGCTTTCTTTGACCGGCAAAGCTAATAGGAGAAGAAAAAAATGATAAAACGAAGCTGAAATTATTTTATTTTTGGAAGTGGACTGCCTAATTTTTATGTTCATCAACTTACAAAGAAGTTACAATAATAATTATAATGACAAGAAAAACCCAAGACTAAAAAAAGCATTAAAAATGGCAGCTTGATTATATGATTTTTAATGCTATTATAATAATCTATACCCAGAGAGCGCCAACTTCGACGAGCTTTGGGACTAGGTGGCCGCTAAGGTGAAGAGCAACGAGGGATTCAAGGCCGCCGACGCAGGATCCACCAATGAACACTGCGGGGACAGGATTCCGAGCGGAGAGGCTATCGTGAAGAAACGGTGAAGGGAGGGAAGCGATCTCATGGTCATCAAGTTCGATGACAGTAGGGTGAACCCCGATGGTGGCTAAGAGCTTTTTCATGACATGACACATGCAACAAGATGATCTGCTGAAGATGATGACAGGGTGCTCCGATATCAGCCTCCTGATTCGTGTCTCCGTTGACTCCTCCTCGCCTATGGAAAGGCCTGCGCCGCTGAGAGCGGTGGTAGTGGTGCTGGTACTCATGGGATTGTTGTTTGAGGAAGAGGAAGAAGGAGGTAGTAGTGGTAATGGTGTTAGATCAAGCTGAACGACGTCACTTGGGCAGCTTCTCAGGCTTTGCATCGCCAAAGAAAAACAAGGGCTCTTTCGTTGTGATATGGTAATGTCAACGAGGAGAAACTAGTGGGATGGGAGATTTAAATACAAAGCTAGTATAAAAATGAGAGAGAAGAGAATTGAGCTTGGCTTGGCTATGCTTGCTTACATCAGAAAGTACTGTGTTACATAGGTTCTCTTTATTTTTTGGGATCATGAGATTTTTGGGGTGCTGAGACTTTGGAAAAGCCCACGCGCTTAAGAAAAAAGAAAATGTAAACTAATTAAAATATTATTTTTTTTAAATGTATAATTTCATTAAATTCAAAAATATATAATAACCGACAGTTATTGTTACTTGTTTATAAAATATTAATATTTTAATTTAATAATCAAATTTTATTTTTTATAATTTTTAATAAAATTAATAATTTATTATTTTAAATATTATCTTAATTGACACTATTAATTACTAAGTAGCAAGAAATGGTTAATATTTAAAAAATTAAAAAACTAATTTACTAAAGTTTCTTTTTATATGTGTGTTTTGGTTTGGTTTGTTGTTCATATTCATTCATGTGCACGTGGGCATATGTCATATTGGTATTTTTAGTCGCAAATATTAGAAAGGGTAGTGATCGGAGGTTGGACTTGTGTATTTTTTATGACGACAAAACTATCCTTATTTGTAAAAACAAGTGGATTCTTGTGTTCTTATTTAACAGATTTTTCTTGTTCCAAAATGAGGTGGAAAGTCTTTGACTGCCAATTGGCTATTCTTTTAAGGAGAAAGAAACCGTGCTATATAAAATCCTTACAGATTTTTTGTGTTAGAAATTGTAAGTATGACATATTGACATGTCATATCCCTTTTGTATCAATTTGTTCTATTTTTTTTTCTTGTTTTTAAGCTTTAAGAAACTTATAAATAACGAAATACCATCAAGTTTATTTTTAATTTTGCCCCACAATTATTTTGGTTAAATTAGTAGTTTAACTTAGCTAATTTCTATTTTTTCTTTCTATTTGAATTGCATGAAATAAAAGGAAAAAAATAAAAATTATATTAATAATTAAGAAAACAAAAGAATCGATTAAGTATTAATTTAAATAACATGTATAATAATCAAAATTTTGAAGATTGGAGAAAATTTAGAGTCATAATATAATCATTAGATAAATTAAATAGATAAAAATTTTGGGCTTAAAAATAGATTAAATGAAAGCAAAAAGAAATAGTGAAGGATTGAAAAGGGTGGGCTTACAAATACCCAAGGAAACGAGTGAGGGGAGAGTATGTCGTGCGTCACGTGATACAGTAGTTCCGAAATACAGGATTTTAGCCGCAGAAGTGGCGTGGATCAGTCACATGGAGATGGTGGTGATCGTAATAAATGACCCCCACTTTGGTCAACTTATTTTCCACGTGGAACACTCTGATTGAACCATGACGTAACCCATAAGCTATAACTTTGCCTTTCTCCCTCTCTCTCGATCGACTAAATTTTCTTCTTGAAAAAAAAAAAAAAGTCTTTTATTGTTATTAAAAATTGCACCGCTACTAAAATTAAAAGCAAACGAACGCAAGCGCTACGGGAAAAAGATAGCTGATGTGGAGAGAATACTGATTGGGAGGAGGGGGGATGGCTGGACCCCACTTCCATGACATAATCATCGGAACGAAATTACACTTTCCTCGTCATCGTGACGTTCCGTGCTTGACACGTGGTAGCTGTGTTTCACTTTCCCTCAGGCATGGAGATTGTGGGGCCTTCTAGGGGGAGATGTGGGGCCCTCCACACCTTTTGGGTCTCAAAGATGGAGCTAATGAGAGTATGCCACATGGTCGTCGGCGTTCTGCGACGTTGATGGGATTGGCGGCAAAGGGGAAGGGAGGGGGCTGGTCCGCTTTGCTTTTGTTTGTGCGTGTGGGCCACCATCATGAATGTGGTGTTTGAGGAGCACATTAAAGGAGCACCGTTGATGGTGGATTTTGTCTGCTACATGTGATGAGATAAGCAAAGGGCAATTGCATCAGCATCACCCCGGCACTTGGGGCCCACTTCATCTATTTTCTATTTTTAATCTACTTTTAATATTTTACTTTTATTCATTTTGAAGTGAGATATAATGCGGTTAAATTTTTTAAAAATTTAACATATTAATGGTAAAAATTTTAATTTTATAAGTAAATTAAGATATTAAAAAATAAAAAAATAGGTTAAAAAAAGGAAATATATATTACAATTTTAATTTCATTTGTGAGATTAAAAATTTTATTATCAATACATTAAATAATTTTTTTAAATGTACAATTTTTCAAAACTTTATTAATCTATAACATTTGAATATTCAGTTATCCACTCTCTTAATTTCGCCTTACCATTTCAATTATTCATTTCAAGCTGTGTTAAGTAAAGATTTTCTTTTTCCTTTTTATTTGTTTTCATAGTAGTAGTAGGTTTGGTTTTTTAATGGTTGAAGAATTTGTGTAAAAGAAAAATAAAATAAAAGAAGAGTAATTATAAACTTCAATAAAATGAAAATGTTTTGACTCACCCACATGTAGTCATGTTTCACCTCTTCCTTATTTGAGGTGAAAACAAACATTTTAAATTAGGGTATTTAAAATTTTATTTTAATCAAATTAATTATCTTAATTAATTTAATTTAATTAATCGATTGATTATCAAATTAATTTTAATAGTTTTAAAAATAATATTAAAAGAATTTTAATTTTTAATTAATCAATTTTTAATCGAAATAATTAAAATATAATAGAAGTAAAAAATAAAATAAAAAATATATGAAATGATAGTTTTATTTTATAAATTATTATAGTTTTTAATTTAATATTTGAATGTTTTATTAGATGATTTTATTTAGTTTGTTTCAAATATATGAAATAAAGAGTTTAAAATATAATTTAACTTAAATATGTTTGATTATTTGATTAACGAAAAGAAATAAAACATCCAAATTTAATTTAATAAATTTAATTCAGTTAATAAAAAAAGAATATCATTCGATTAATTTATTTTTTGATAATTTAATTTAAAATTAACCAAATCAACTAAATAAACTTCCTCGATTTAAATTCCAAATAATTTGCAAACAAAAAATATAAAAAAACCCTTTAAATGGTATGATATTCATAATTTTTCATGTTTAGTACTTTTTAATTAATTACTAATAAGAGAATAAGATATTTGAATTTAACTTTTAAAATAAAAATACACTTATTATTAAATCAAATGTTCATATATTTGTTTATTTATTATTTTTCATCATTATAATCGTAGTTGTAATGGTTTTTTTTGCATCATATTGTATTAGATAAAATCCCACAAAATTAAGCACTTTGTAATATGAAAAATTATTTAATATATTGCCAATAAAAATTTTTAATTTTATAAGAGGGTTGATAAAATGACATGTATTTTTTTTAATATACATTAAAAGATGTGAATCATCTTATTAATCAAACTTATAAAGTTAAAAAACTTTATTTTTAATAGAATTAATGATTTTTTATTTCGAATCTTAAATAAAAACATTATTAATGGTATCACGTCTACTACTTGCACTTGAAAAATCATGAAAACATATATGTTTGAAAACTTAAAAATCACAAGTGCCATCCATTCAAATTTGACTTTTAATTTTTGGGTAACCGAATGAAAAAAAAAAAAAAAAGGTTGGTTTTGATTGGAGGTCAAAGATTCAAAAGCAAAAGAGACTAACAAGCTGTGCTACAATGGCATTGGCATTGATGGGGATATATGCGAGTTGGTTGGAAGCCGTGTACCAAAAGCCCTCGTTTCCTTTGATAAAATATCACAAAAGTGAGAAAAGAACAATGCAAAAGAAGTGGTACTCGTGGTCACCATGCATAAGGGTCAAATCAACAAACAACAAGTTATCGTCATTCTCAACGTCATCAGCCATTGTTGATGGACGGAAAGTCTTTAAGGTTGTTGCCAGAACTCCTCAGAGACCACGCCTTAACATGCTTCACGTTGTATCCAAAGATAAAGGGAGAAAGAAGAAAAAAGAAAAGCAAAGGCTGAATTTGATGCTACAGACCCCGGCATTTTCCGCATTGGCAGCTAGTCCTTTATTTATATCATTAATATACTCTTTTGCTGTATATGAATTACCCATGGCCATCACCTCTTTTTCTCTTTCATTTATAACCCATCTTCAATTTAATTTGAGTTTGAAAAAATTCGATTAACAAATGATTATAAATATGGACTAAAGATAATCATATGTAATATTATTTTAATACATTGTTTTCACTTTAATTGTGCCAATTTTATTCTAAAATAACATTTAAATTCATTTTATCATATATTTGCAGACATGAGTTAATCGGAATATATATAAATACTTATGCTGTTTTAAAGAGAGGGGTCAAATTGATGAGATGAGCTTTCAATGAGCCCGTCTTGTAATATTACACTAGTGTTTCGTGGACCCATCCCATTTTATAGTACTAAGTCTTTCGGTGGCTGCTTTAATAGTTATCACTCAATCAATGAAGTGCCACTAAAGTTGACCTGAACCCTAACTTATAGGAAACTTAAAAGCCAAGCACCATGCAATAAATTTAATTAGTGAACATTCAGTATTAAGAAATAATATTTAATATATTTTAATATTTTTAAATTACAAATTTTTTATAAAAAAAAAAATGTGAATCGAGTTGCCCTTTACAAATTCACCAACAGACATGGGAGACGTAGATTTTTTTTTTACTCTCCACATGACTAAATGAACCTATTTAAAATTTAGTTGATGTACAAAATAAATCCCAAATTTAATGTTTTGGTTACGGTCTTGTACTCAAGAAAAAATGGTACTATGGGATCACTGCATATATAGTATAGGGTCCCATAAATTATAATTTTCAAAACGAATCTATTTAATACCCTGTGAACATTTAATGCATTCATTATAAATGCTTGGTTGGTTGGTAATATATCATATATGTGATTGATATCACATACCATATAGATAAAAAATAATTCAGAAAATAAATTTTTATTGTCGCAAGGTTTTGACATAATGATTACAAATCATCTAGTCTCTTTAATGTTGTCAATTCAAAGATACATTATCTTCTCAATTTCATTTAAAAATACAAGATGAAACTATGTTGGTTGCTTTTACATCATAGACTTTGCCAATAAAATTACAAAAACTAAGCCAATTAGGAGAATTTCTTGTGGCAAGTGGGAAACCCACGAAATCAAATCACCTCCATAACACATATTTCTAGGCGTGCTTAGTATTCACTTTATTAAAATAATTTTAGATACGATAAAAAATAAAAAAATTAAAAATTAATTTTCACATGATATATAGTAGTAGTAAAGTATATTTCACCTTTATTTTGTTTCATCAAACTTGCGTAAAAAATGCATTATCTTTTCCGACATTCATGGAGAAAAATATCATAATAAAACAAAAAAGGTCTAAATATAAAACCTCTAAACCTCACTTCACTTTTTAATTTTATAATTTCCTACTCTAAGAATTTAAAACTTTCATGCACGCGCTACATGATAGTGCAGTGAATTTTATTTTAGAAAATATAAAAAGCTATTGAATTTTAATTAAAAAATTATTTAAATATTTATTTTATTATAATTAATTAATATTTTTAGTATTTATTTATATTAAATTAAATTTTTATTTAGACGAATTTTAACATTATTAATTTATTATAAATTAAGATAAAATTTTATGTGACATTATTAAAATAAACAAAAGCTTATTACTTGACATAATTGATATAAGTAAAAATAAAGTAAAATAATTTTTTTCTTTTTTATTTTTTTGTCCCATCTTTTTAAAATTCTTTCATGAATTTAAATGATTTTAAATCAAAATTTAATTCATTAAATTTTATCATGTGATTAAATTTTGTCAATTTAAAATTTAATTAAATCAAAATAAAAAATTAAAGTTTGATCAATTATAATAAAATATTAAAAATTTAAATAATTATTAAATTATAATTTAAAACTAATTTTTACCCTTTAACTATTTTTTTCTCTTCTTGCACGATTCGTTACTTCTGACAATCGCCACGTGAGTGGTCACATGTCCGTACCTTCTATAAGCGAAGATATAGGAGATGTTGTCAGCAAGATCTGTGTCCGTGACCCGAATCCGTATCATGTACATATTGGGTACAGGCCTGCACTTAAGGTCGTCATTGGTGCTCATTATCCCTAGTTGTGCACTTTAGCATAGCCCCTTGTTCTTGTTATCAGGCTGTTTCGTTAATTGGCGCCGCTGGTTTTTTTTTTTTAACATAAATTTCAGTCGTATTATTTATTTATTATTAGTTATTCTTTTAAGTAAATCAGTTCGTTATCTGGTTCAGTGTGACACATGGGTGACAAAACCTGATGTGACAGTCAGGGGTCAGATAGTAGGACCCGATGATGTCATGATCTGAATCTGTGTCGCTCATACGTGTAACGTAGTCTAGTTTCCCTCTGGTCCTTTTGCAGAAGGGGAGGTTATCTCCCTTGCACGGTGAAATATGAAGGGTTTGTTCCCCTGGAAAAACCATCTGATCATGGCCGTACATGTGGCAGATTGTAATTAAGTTGTGGGGTTGATATCATGGGGTAAACCGATTTAAGTTTGTGGTGGCCATGCCTGTTTTCTGTTAGGTTTTGACCATACAAAAATATGAGACAATGAGCAGTGAGAGCGGAGGAGGGGGCATGGATAATTAACAGCTCATTGGAGCAATAATGCTAAGGCCTGATAAGGGTATTGAATATTGAGTGCTCCCATTTGTCCGAGAGTTTTGATTCTTCTTTCATTGAAATTTTATTTTTTTATTCCATTATCCCTATTGTTTAAAAAAAAATGTTCATTAGATAGAGTGTGTCGTGTCAGTTGACAACATTTAAAATTTATTGAAGATATCTGAAGCACACACAGTCTTGTCTTGTCCAGAAAATCAATTTGATTGTTCATGTTAAAACAAAAAAAATTGCAAGTTTTACAGCTAGCATATTGAATATGAGGAAGAAGATAAACTGAGTTGCCGACTTGAATCTGATCGCTGATAGAGGTTGTAAATGTAGCTTTTAGGTTAGGCTTATGCATTTTGATTTACCGGTGGTAAAAGTGTTGAAAAGAACGCCGTTTTGGACTTATAATGATAGTTATCAAAATCGAATTAAATATTAAATTATTAAGTTAATAATTTAATAATTAAATTAATTAATTAATTATCGATTCAATAAAATATTATATAAAATATAAATATTTTAAAATTTTGAACTTTTAATGAAAATTAAAATTTAATAATTCAATAACAAAGCTATGAATTTTAACATATATATCATAAATTATAAATTTTAAAATATAAAATTCATAAAACAATTAAATACTAAATTACTTAATATTTTATTAAAATCATATATTATATTTTAATATTTAGAAATAATATTTATATTTTAATAAATATAATAAATAATAAGTAATAAATAATTATAAATAATTATTTTTTATATTTATTAAGATATAAATATTATTTATTAATATAAATCAATCTTTATTTAATAAAAAAGAAATATCTATATATAAAATTAATAAAAAGAAAATATTTATATTTATATGAAAATTAGTAAAAAATAAATTAAAATCATTTTTATATTTTTTATATGAATGTAGATTTTTTTATTAATTTTACATATATACATTTTTTTATTAATTATTTTCATTCATGATCAAATAATTAATCATTTTTATCAATATTTTATTTTTTATTAATTGTATATATTATTATTGTTATAATTATTTTTAATTATGGTATCAATTAATAAAATTTTTTGTTAGATTATCCTTTTTTTTTAAATTACCTTTTTTTTATACATGTATAAATTTTTTTACAATATTATTATTCACGTGTCAAAATATGTCAATATATTATTAATATAAAGATGTAAGATATTAAAAAATAAGGATTGTGGGTTATTTGGATGAAATGGTAGTATAAAGGTTTAATTATATTATTTTGAATACTAATATTTTTTTTTATATTTTACTTAAACTTATTAATTGGTATTAAATTATTTCAATAAAAAAAAATCATTCGATTTGCTAGTTTATTATGTGAATCTCTTGTTTACAACGATTTAAAATAATTTAATTGTAAAACTTATCTAATTATAAAATTTAACCGATTTCAATATTTGTTTACCAATTCATCTGATCGGATTGACGATCCAACTCAACTCTAATAACTATGCTTACAACCAAAGAACTTCAATGGATTCGAAAATTTGTATCAGAACTATAATGTACTAGAGTTTTGACCAAACAAAATGGGTTAATTATAGTATTTTTTCCATAAATAAGTCATTTCTATTTCACCCTTTCTCCTCCTTAACATACTGTAATCATGAATTATAATAGCAGAATGGAAAAAGAAGGGTTTTTTTTTTTTTTTGGTTGGGCAAATGGGAAAGAGAGAGACAGAAAACAAGGCATGCGAGGGCAGGGCCCCAAAAATAATGGACAACAAAATGAAGTCATCACCTTGGTTGGGTTGTCATAGAAAAAATAGAAAGTCGGAGCGGCAGCCATTTACTTTCTCATTAGTTTGGGCAACTACTGTGGTGGGCTTCAATTATTATTCTTAATTTTTTTTTTTGGGGGATTAATTTCTGGTTTAGAATAGCTCAATGATGATGCATTCAAGGTAGCATTAAACTAATTGACTAACATAAGTGGCTTACCTTTCCACGGGCTATGGCCTTCAAGGGAAATTAGTCTTACATATAAGCTGATTGAAATTTGAATGAATCTCTTTACTTAAGATATAAGTAGTAAGCAATAATAAAAAAAAACGAGGATGATCCCTTCAAGTGGAAGTTATCGTATCATAGATTTGATTTTATAACACATGCAACTTTGCTTACTTATTTTTTATTTGATGGAAGGCTTATCTATATGTATATTATTATATATATAACTTCTGATTGAATTGATGTTACGAGTCAAGTGACATAAACTCAATTAACAAAGTATGTAAAAATGAAATAAAATTAAAGACGTTTTAGTCTTTTAACTGTGAAAAAAATAATTATTTTCTTAAAAAAAAAAAAACTACCTGGCTCTGCAAATCATTGAAGATACCAATTAATTTTATAGGTCAAATCCTTTACATCTATACTAAGAATCTGGGTTTTATTAAAGAAAAAATAACTCGACCTATACTAACTTGAACTTGTAAAAGCTAGCCAAAAAATAACAGAAACAGAGTATATGCCTTGGCACATTGCAGAACAAGATGAAGAACAGAGTTGTTGTCGGCCCAAGTTTTCATGTTGATCCAGTGAGGAAGAAAATTGAGCAGACTTCGATCCAATATTATATTTGGAGCTGGAACAAACTTCATCAGCAAGACTTTTGTTTTCCTCCCGACTGTCTAGTGGGCCATCTTTGAAGCCCAAATCATTGTCTTGTTCTCAATCCTCCTCACAACTAGTTAGTAGTAACTATTTAGAATAAGGTTCTTCTAACTAACATTGGGTCTGTTGTCCATGGAAACTCGATCTGAGTTAACTAAACCCATTTGTTTATTCCTCGGCTCCACCCTGAAAAATCTAAACAACCTACGTGGCAAAAGTTGAGGGGTGAAAAAGATCTGGACTTACCAAGTAGGCTCCATAATCCGACCATCGACGGCTGTGGACAAGCTCTTAGGCTTTTGACCCTTGGCGAATCTGGAAAAATGTAGAAGTTTCCAGACTTTTGCTTCTGAGCAGAAACTTCTTACAAACTTTAGAAAAAAAGCTCACACATAATCTGTCACTAGAACTTTCTTTTCCACCGCCTTATATTATCACTTCTCTCTCTGACTTGTAATTCCAGGACATTTGCCCCTAAAACATTCTCAGTTTTCTTTTTTCATACGAAACTGAAACTTAGGACAGAACTTCAAAGTGAAGTGAAAACTCACCAAAAGAAACAACAACAGATTCAGCAACGTTGCTAGATTTATTACAGAGCCGAAGAGAAGATCAGAAAGAAACAAGAAATGGAAGGAGTGGTAATAAAAGAAGAGGAAACAGTGATGTTTGCAGCTGGAACTGCAGGATTATCTACATCTACATCTTCATCTTCTTCTCCGTCTTCGAGTGTTACTCCACAGCCGATGGAAGGGCTTAACGAGGTTGGTCCACCGCCGTTCTTGACCAAGACTTTTGAAATGGTGGAAGATCCTTCGACGGACTCAGTGGTTTCATGGAGTAAAGCTCGTAATAGCTTCATTGTTTGGGATTCTTATAAATTCTCGACTACTCTGCTTCCTAGGTACTTCAAGCACAGTAATTTCTCCAGCTTCATTCGCCAGCTCAATACATATGTAAGTAATCTATTGAAAAATGTTGTCTTTGTTTTAGTTTTGTTGCTAATTTTGTACAATTTTTACTTGGGTTGTCCTTGTTTTGCTTTTTCTGTCTAAAATCTATTTGCCTCTTAGTTGAGAAAATAGTCTGAGAAAATCAGAACTCATTTTGGCTTCTTTTTTTTTTTTTTTTTCTTTTAACGTTGTGATTACTCAACCCCACGGCTTTTCTTGTGTGTCCTACTCTGTGTCTTGGTGATCAATTTTCAGTCTGATAAATTTCAAGGTAAACTAATCACATTAATGCTGTAACCTAATGCAGGGGTTTAGGAAAGTTGATCCAGACCGTTGGGAATTTGCCAATGAAGGATTTCTGGGAGGGCAAAAATGCCTACTGAAAACGATCAAGAGGAGAAGAAATATCCCGCAAAGTTTGCAACAGCAAGGAGGAGCTTGTGTTGAGTTAGGACAATTTGGACTAGACGAAGAGCTTGAGAGATTGAAGAGAGATCGAGGCGTGCTACTGGCAGAAATCGTGCGTCTAAGGCAGCAACAGCAGCATTCAAGAGACCAAATTGTTGCAATGGAGGGGAGGTTACAAAGCACGGAAAGAAAGCAACGGCAGATAATGACATTCCTTGCCAAGGCTCTTCGTAACCCAACCTTTATCCTGCAATTTGCACACAAAAGACAGATGCAAGGTATTGAAATCGGGAGAAAACGGAGACTAACAGCTAGCACAAGTGTAGAGAATTTGCAAGAAGAAGCAATTCCTGTGGTAGTTGATAATGACCAAGTTGTTGATTACACCAACCAGGAGCAAGAAGAATTGGCAACAATAGAGTCTGAGATAGAGACATTTTTCTCTTCTGCCTTGGACAATGAATCATGCAGTGAAATCAAGGATCCTATGACAAGTCCGGTGCCCATATCAAGTGGAGCTAATTTGGGTGTTAATGAGATAATATGGGAGGAGTTAATCAGTGAAAACCTAATAGCTGGTGAACCAGAGGGGGAAATTGTGGTGGGTGATCAGCCTGAAGTTGATGTTGAGGTAGAGGATTTGGCTGTAAACCCTGCAGATTGGGTTGATGATTTGCAGGGCCTAGTGGATCAGGTGGGTTATCTCGGGTCAAAGCCATGACCAAACACATTAATGGAATGTAGGATATTGTTGTTCTAGGCTTGAGTTGGTCTCTACGACACCATTCCTTGTTTTCTTAAACTGGTATTTTCATGAATTTTTGCTTCTTGTTTATGTTGCTTCTGTATTTTGTTTGTGACTAATAAGAGTATATGATTTCTCACACAGCAGGGAATGGTGAAAGTTTCCAAGGGGCCAACAGATGTTCCTGTTGTTATGTATCCTTACTGATAATCTAGTCCTTCATTTCCTTTTGACACTTTTTAATGCACTTTGGAATTTGATTTACCAGTTACATGATATTTGTTGTTTCTTGTGGCAAATTTTTGCAGGCGGGCTAACCGACAAAGATTTATTGGGGGACCCCTCCAAGCACGAGTCTTCCAGAAGCTTCTAGTTCCAGATTTCCAGTCCCTATTTCCTACTGCCTATATATGTTTGCGCTAATGCTCTTTCTGTATCCTTGTTAACTTCATATTAATCTTTGTTAATGTAAATATCAGTTTCAATCCATGTGTACAGTATGGATGCATATATTCGATATGCATATAGGCAAGGAATATTACTCTATGGATTGAGTTCTTTGTAAGCTGTCTGAGCAAGTGGTAACGCTAAGACCAAATAAGATCTTCGTTGATAAATGTGGAATAGTAACTAATGAATTTCAGAAGTCTGTTGTCTTTATTCTGATAAATCGACAAAGTGTTAATCATGGTTTCAAGAGAATAATTGTAACTCAGCAAGGTGGTGGAAGTAGCGTGAGTTTTGGCTTGTGTTTATGCTCTCGATTGATGAAATAGAAGCATCTTGGATTGGTAGGGAATAGATGTCTGTCAAAAAGGAATTCAACCCTTGTTCAACAGCAAAGTTTAAGTACTTCTCTAATAGCTGAGTCACTAGATGCTAAGACTAGAACAACTATGCTTATTCTGCAAAAGATGAAATAATTGTATAAATCTGATCAAAGATTTAGTTTTATCCAATTATGCTTTTCTAGTCTTTTGCTGTCTGAAGAACAGTATGAGTGTCAAACTTTGCCAGATGGTAAAGACAAGATGAGCATGGATTTTCCTCGTGCGTAAGACTTTATCCAACAAAGGGAAGTCATCACTTGTTTTCCCCGGGTGCATGACACTTGTGGAAAGTAAGGGAAACGGAGCAATTGTGTATTGGAAGAATTAAACCGCTAGCACAACGAATTGATTAGGGTCATTCATTTGTGGCTAAGTGAATCAATATATGTAGGCTGGCAGAAGTCGCGTTTATATGTTACTCAAACGTGAATCATTTTCAATGGAGAGTGCTTCAAGCGTCCATGGAATAATAGATATTGGAATGCAAAAAACAGTAGGGTTACAACACCAGAACCCTTACAATCATAGATTTCTCAAAAAAAGAAAAAAGGGTGTTCCAGCCTGTTATCGCACATTATCTGTTAACATCTAAAACCGAGTAATACAAGATAGCTGAGCAGGGAAAAGAGGTTAGTTAATGTTATCTTGCTCTGTCCACTTGCCTACAAATACTAATTTAGTGAGAACATAAAGTATGACAAACACACCCGAAGGAATCTTAAGCGGCCAGGAGGAGTAGCACAGACAGGTGATACTAGCAATCCGCATAAGTTAAAGGGAATCATTTTCAAATCAACTTGTTTTGGAAGAAAGAATAACATCCCAACATCAGGATTGAAAGGATGGAAAGCTGCTGTCAACAAACAATTGGTCTGCTTTCCGGCCAATGAGTCAATGTTTCAACCATAATAATCCCATTCTGAAAATGCCCAGAAAATTCCAGGTTCTAAACCTGTTACTGTGAAATATGGAAAAGAATGGAATTTGTTTCATAATCTGATTAAACTATGCATGATTTTAAAGCATTATGAAGTCTGAAAATCTAAATGAAGTGATCTATTCTGTCCCGCATTGGGGAGAATCAACGATCCTTTAGAGGCTTCAAATCTTATGTAATGGTGGGCTTCAGGAGGGCCCCACAAGGACAATTTTGCTGTCTAGGGTCTGGATTAATTGGTAGGACTATATACAAAGAACCATAACAAGCACAATACTCGAATTTATTTATTCACTATCCTGTCCAATATAAAACTAACGGATATAAATAAACCAATGAGGTATCTATTTCACCAAAATAATCATTCAAATACTGACAAAGACCAAATGCCAGAAAGATGCTTTGAGAAATCCCACTTTCCATTCCATATAGACCCCCTCCATCTTTGCGAGAGCTAAACTATATCTTTCAAACACTCAAAGTAGAAGGAAATGGCTCTATTTTATGAAACTCTTCGAAGCTCAGTTGGTATAGAAGGGTTCTACCCTAATATCTCTACGGCGTCGACAATCTTCACAGTGCTAGCCATGGTAGCAGGTGTATTGGGCTATCTATATAGGCCCTATTGGGGGGTAAGAAGGGTGCCTGGTCCACCAGCTGTCCCACTGGTAGGACACCTGCCCTTGATGGCAAAGTACGGCCCTGATGTGTTTTCAGTCCTTGCCAAACAATATGGTCCTATTTTCAGGTCAGTCTGCTGCGTTTCTCTGTTCCCCTTCAGGAAATATTTGATAAACCCTTCTTGGAGATGCCGATCTTATTGCCATGGCAGTCTTTGTAAAGTCAACATCCAACAAGTTTTTTTTTTTTTTTTGAAATTCCCCACTCAATCTTTTTGTTTTCTTAGTGATGCTTTTTTATGTTTATATTACCACTTGCTCAATGGAATTAGTTTATGGAGAATGGTAATAAAGGAGAAGGATAAACATATAATCACCTGCAACAATTGAAATAGATAGAATCATGTTTGTCGAGTGGTTTAATTGTTAGAGTTGATTGACAATTCAAGAGAAATGAACGGAAAATGTTATTCAGTTTTTTTTTCTCTGGAGAAAGTGTAACCTTTCTCTTTCTTACAAGATAGAGCATAAAGAAAATGAGAATATGATGGAGACTACTCAAGAAAACATTGTTGACACGGTTCATTGAATTCCCTTTGACCTTTCAGAAATCCCAAAATAGTTGTCTCTAGCGTTGTCAGGAGTCAGGACCATACACCAAAGTATCTGTCATTTGGCCGCAGCCTATTAATTCATAAAAGATGCTGCATTATCTGATTACTCCAAAGCAATTCCACTTTCTTTCCCTCGCAAAATAAAAGAAGAAGTTCAATATGACATGCTGACCCATTTCTAAACATGACAAAACTTGGAGTGGGTACTCTGATAATTGGGCATGTGATTTTGGTGGAGCAGGTTTCATATGGGTAGACAACCCTTGATAATCGTAGCAGACCCAGAGCTTTGTAAAGAAGTTGGAATAAAGAAGTTTAAAGACATCCCAAATAGAAGCATTCCCTCACCTATCGCAGCCTCCCCACTTCATCAAAAGGGTCTCTTTTTCACAAGGTACTCTTATCAAGATAGCTAGCTAGGCCGATAGACAAGGGATACAACTACAGTTGTGCCAGTCAATAGTATAAGTGTTGTAACTAAAATCTTGATGACACCTGGTATTGCAGGGATTCTAGATGGTCGACTATGAGAAACGCAATATTATCTGTCTACCAACCATCCCACTTAGCAAGCCTAGTTCCAACCATGCAAGCTTATATTGAATCTGCCACTGAAAATCTTCATTCATCTAAAGAAGACATCACTTTTTCTAACCTCTCACTCAGACTGGCCACTGATGTTATTGGACAAGCTGCTTTTGGGGTTAACTTTGGCCTATCCAAATCACAATCAATCAGTGAATCAATTAGGACTACGGATAACCAATGCAGTCAAAATGATGAAGTCTCTGACTTCATCAATCAACACATCTACTCCACAACGCAACTTAAGATGGACTTATCTGGTTCTCTTTCAATTATAATAGGTCTACTTGTCCCCATATTACAGGAGCCTTTTAGGCAGATTTTGAAAAGAATACCAGGAACTATGGACTGGAAAGTTGACAGGACTAACAAGAAGTTGAGTGGTCGGCTTGATGAGATTGTATCAAACAGAATGAAAGAGAATAACCGAGGTTCAAAGGACTTCTTGTCTCAAATATTGAGTGCAAGGGAATCAGAGAATGTGGCTAAGAATGTTTTTACTCCGGACTACATTAGTGCTGTTACTTACGAGCACCTTCTTGCTGGCTCAGCAACAACAGCCTTTACATTGTCATCAATTGTATATTTAGTTGCTGGACATCCAGAGGTGGAGAAAAAACTGCTGGCAGAGATTGATGGGTTTGGGCCGCATGGCCTGGTGCCAACTGCTTATGATCTCCAACATAAATTTCCGTATCTTGATCAGGCAAGTCCCATGGGGCTCACTTTTTGACAATGACACTATACCCATGTTTGGATTTGTGCTTATATGTTCCTTAATTCTGTTTGTTGGTTTGACTTCAGGCGATTAAAGAGGCTATGAGGTTCTACATAGTTTCTCCATTAGTTGCGAGAGAAACATCAAAAGAAGTGGAGATAGGAGGTTACCTTCTGCCTAAGGTATTACCATCTCTCATATGGAACTCAATTCAATTTAATTTTGTGCGTGGACTAAAGCTTGTTTGTGATTTTCCATCTTTTTGTTATGCTTTGATGAGCAGGGAACGTGGGTCTGGTTAGCACTTGGAGTCCTAGCAAAAGATCCAAAGAACTTCCCGGAGCCAGATAAATTTAAGCCGGAAAGGTTTGACCCAAACTGTGAAGAAGAGGAACGAAGGCATCCTTATGCTCTCATACCCTTTGGAATTGGGCCTCGGGCATGCGTTGGCCAAAAGTTCTCCTTACAAGAAATCAAACTCTCCTTGATACAACTGTATCGGAAATATACATTTCGACATTCTTCCAACATGGAAAAACCTTTGGAGCTTGAATTTGGCATAGTTCTCAACTTCAAACGTGGTGTAAAGCTCAGAGTCACAAAAAGAACATGATTAATGTATCTGGCTGGAGTTATATTTCCTCAGTCATATAAATGCAAAAAATAATAATGGAGAATTGATTCAAGGAAGAGCTAAATGAACACTTGTAAAGAATGTATTGCCCTTGAATCAGATACAAAATACTCAATAAAGTGTTTGCAAGTTGCAACAGCTTGCTCTTAAACTTAGTACACTTCAATAAAAAAGAACAACAAAGTGTTGATCTTTTATCCAATTAAATCCATCCAACTAATCATACAAGCAATTTCCCCTCTCCCTGGGTTTCATTGTGCCTTTATCCAATCGCGTAGGAGGACATAGTGGTCGAGACATATGGAATGAGGGATCAAAACCAGCACTACTATTTGAATCCCCATTATAGAAAGCAGCTGATTTCTTGAACTGGAACTCATCCATGGACTGCCTTTGAATTCTGTGAAAGGCATGATTACCAACTCTTTGTTTTGCCTTGGTAGACTGTGTCAAGTTCATATAGTTTGGCCTACTATTGCCACTCTCCTCTGTTCTATCTGAAGCCAAGATAACGTTTCCAGAAACTGGTGTGGTAGAGGTGCATATTGAAGATGAAGCAGAGCTCTCATCAAATCGAAATTCAGAACTTGGACTCGAAGATGATTGAGTAACTTGCCCAATATGGGGAGGCTTTGAAGAAATCCTAGTGGTAATATTGTTCTTTCTGACTTTCACAGAGCATTGTTCCGAAGATCTTGTATTCTTTCCCACGAGGGACTCAGAAGAATAACTTTTTGATGGTGGAGTTACTTCTGAAGGGTCAGCCTGTGATTGCTCCATCAATCTAGTCTCCCATGGCCGGGCTGCCATCCAACGTTCTAGCCAACTCCATCCCCAACTATTCTTGTCAAACTCTTCATTTTTGAGATATGGAAATGAATTATTTGATCGGGTAGTTGAACCAGGGTTTGATCTCCATTGCTGTAAAAGCAAAGAACTTAATTATTTTTAGCCATCACAAAGGTACAAAATTTAGAAAATCTCCATACCTTCTGAGCAAGAGAATAAGCAAGTGCTCTTTCTCTCTTGAATGCTCCTTCTTGCCTCATCTGTAGCTTTGTTTTAACATCCTCCAGTGTTCCTTTGCTATCACACCAGCCATCCTGAGAGCATTTTTACAGTCATAGGGGGAAAATTTAATGACATTAGCAAATTGAAGTGCCAACTAAAATCTTGGTTAATGGTACCTCTGCTTGTTTCAAGATATCAGCCTTACTGCGGCGTTCATCAAGCATCTTCTGAACTACCTGCCCTTCTATGGACATTCGCACACGACGAGCCCTAACACGAGCCTGGACACGAACAAGAGCTTGCATACACCGAAGTGTCACAGCAGCCTGTTTTCTCACCTGTCGACCACGAACTAAGGCTTGAAGCCTCACAATTCCTTTCAAAGCCCTCGAAGCTCTTCTTGCCTACATAAAAATTGCTGGTAAATAGGTATGTTGGTTCAACAACAACCAAATATTTCCGCAACAATCACCATCAACATGGAGAATATAACAGAAAACATTGTCCATGTAGTAAACCAGCAAGTTCAAAATCCGAGGGTGAATACATCAATACAAAATTGACATTAAATTTACTGAAGAATAAGCGTAAGTACATAAACCTTAAAAACAATAATCCAGATCAAATAATACTACTGTACTATTTTACAATGAAGTTCAAATTTGTAAATAACGAGCTAAGTCCAGTTAAGAATTAAGTTTTGGAAAAAAAATACATGAGCTGAATCATTTTAGATCTAATCTTTATTTACTATTTGTTATGGCTGCACTAATGTATTAACCGTTGAAATTTGAGAAACAATAAAGAACTTCCGCTCCGGAAAATTTCTTTCACTTTCTCAGACACCAAGCGAGGAAAGAAACAGATGGCAGTAAAAGGGAATTCAAATTTACCAAGAAGCCACGAAACGCAGTTTGGATGCGTATAGCAGCCCATTCTTGCCTTACAACCCTGAAATCTTTAGGAGGAGCTCGAATTACTGCGGCCATTGCAGCGGTGAAAGCATCAGTCCTTGGTGAAGAATCAGATCCTTCAGAATCTGCTCGAAACTTTCCTTTAAAACCCTTCCACGAGGACACCAAGTCCGCTGAAGAACTCCTCCTTAACCTCCATTTCTTACTCTTGCCGCTCAGCTTTTCCTGCACAGCAAAATGAAGAAGAGCTTAGTTCAAACACGTATATAACAGTTAATCATGCACAAAAGCATAGAGCTTACTTGGTCCTCCTTTTCAGTCTTCTTGAAACCAATAAGAGATTTCACCCATTTCCCAGAAGCACCCATTGGCAGTCGCAGTTCAAGGTATATATTTTCTCAGAGCTACAAAGAAATGTTTTTTCTTTCTTTGAGGGGAGTAAAAAAAACAGATAAATGAAGCAAGTTTGATCTCAACTAGCTCAAAAGAAGGCAACTTTGTAAGAGAAAGGAAATGGGCAGCAATGAGAACAGTGAATATCAGAGTAGGGGTGACAAAAAGGAAAAATTTTGAAACAAATACAAACTTCAACGAGGCTCAAGAAGAAAACTTTTCCCTTTTTAGAAAAAGAAAGCAGATTGAATGAAAATTCAAAACAACAAAAACCCAAATGGAGAGAGTTGAAACAATAGTTCCCAAAGAGCCCTGAAAATAAAGTTTTGGGTAACTGTGAAGAACCTGAAACCAGAAGGAGGGGGAGAGAGAAATGTGGGGGAAATGTAGGGATTGTGGGTTTGGACTTTCGGGTTAACGGGTTTACAAGAGTGGGTTTACCAAGGTCCAATGATACCGTTCAGTATTTTGAAATTCAAAACAAACCAACCAACGGACACAGAAGGATTGATCTCGATCCCGCTCAATTGAATTGCTTTTGAGAGTGATACTATCTGTCCTTGTATTTGGAACTATTTTTACGGCATTTTTGGTCCCACAGCTTTTAGGGAAATTCGTCATGAAAAGGCACGTTCCCCTTGTTTTAGTACATGAAAAGTTACAAAAAAGACAAGAAGTTACCCGACAAAAGATTCCTCTTCGAGGATCTGGTTTATTTGTTGGAGTAACTGGCTCGGGACACTTGTATGGACAGTGCTGAAAATCTCTGCTCCAAATCCTCTTCTTTAGAAAGACTTGTACTTGCCCATTATTTTTTTTTATCTCAAAGACTTGTACTTACTCATTATTTATTAATAAGTATTTTTTTAATTAATTAAAATTTTGTTTTATAAAAAAATTTTAAGTTTGAATTTTATTAATAATTATTTATTAAAATTATTTTAAACTCATAATTTATAATTATTAAATATAATATATTTTATTTTGATTTAAAGATTAAATACTTATTTATCTTTAGATTTTCTTTTACAAAAAAAAAAATCAAAAGTTGTGATTTTTTTTTTTTTTTTGGGCATAGCTTTGAGCATTACAAAAACAAAAATTCTGGAAAGTTGATTGGTGGTCTGAAGGCCAGTAAGTATTCAGAATAATAAAAATAGCACTTGAATTTTACAGCCAGGTTGATTTCAAATTGTTCTGCAAAAGACAAATTTTGATTTTCAAATTTTTTGAAAATGAGGACTTGGTTCCAATGTAACTTGCTACACTTTGAGATTTCTTTTTTTTTTTTTGAATAAAAATATAGTCTGAGATTTCTATTCCAAAAACCAAAATGACAAAATCTATTTTTGTCTTTTAACATTCAAATTCTAATCCATTAATATAATCTAAAGTGAACTTTTTTGCTTAGGATTCTCTGTCAATGGATAAAAAAGCATCAGAAGTCGATGGTAGGAATTAATTGTGGCAATGTAATTGGAGTAAAAGACAAGTAAGTTTAAAACCGTTTGGTTGCAACAACGCTGCCTGCAGCTGAATGAAAATGAGCTGCGTGAAGTGTGCAGAGGACATGCCATGGAATATGTGAGAGACAGAGGAACATTAAAGTAAAAAGCATTTAACAGGGAAGTTTGGGTTAATTAATTACTGCCAAAGTTTTACTTAGATTTTTGTGTTTGTCAGGCGTTGACGTCGAGAATTAAATAACTCTGGGGGTCATTAGTTGCCTTGTCCTTACTAGGTTTATATTATATATGACTATTCTTACCATGATTCTTAATGGATGCAAGCTTAAGCTTGAATCTTACCTTCATTAATATGGTGTTTGAGGCAGTGGTGGAATTAACGTTGATGATAATTCAAAATAGCATTCACATATAATAGATTTCTGTTACTGTATCTTTTTATAATAGCCTTCACCCAGCTCTTGTTTTTCCTGTTTTTTCCGCTATTCATCTTAATAGAAAGGGCAATAGTCAATAGTAAAAGCTCATTGTTCCATGAATGTTCACCTTGTCTGTCGTCTGTCTCACGTTCTCTTCAATCCCCTGCACCCCCTTCCAACCACCGGCCAAATAAAAAACAGTTGGGGATTGGAAATAATGATGATAATAGGTCGGGGTGAATTCTTACTCATCCTCAACTTGATTTGATTATATATATATATATAAAGTCTGAATTTGATTTAATTTTATAATTTTTTATATTTGATTCGATTTAATCTAATTTAATATTATATAAAATTATATTTGATTTGATTTTAAATTAATAAAATATTGTTTTTAAAAAATATAAAATATTATTTTTAATATAAATATAAAAAATAAATAAATAATTTAAATATTAATTTATATATATATATAAGATAGAGTAAGTTTGTATTTATCTAAAACTTGATTCGATTCGATATCTAATTTTAAAAAAAAAAGTTTAAAAAATTAAAGCAAATAGAAATTTGTTATATTCATATTATATTACCTTCTCTGATTGGAAAGCAAGCCCTTGCATCTTTCACCAACTGTTCATTATTTCAAAAAAGAAAAAAACTACTACTACTACTTATTCACAGCTTACATAAAGAATTGACAAAAGCAAATTAAACTCCATATGACATATGACAGAAGGGGTTATTCTAAAGCCTAAAAAACAAATCAAAGAACAAAGAATGTTTGGTCAGACCCCTTCACCTATTTTACATTTTTATTACTAGTGTTGCTACAAAAGCCTGGGCGCAAGAAGTGCTCAACCTTGGTCATTTATCATTTGGTGAATACTCAAAAAGTTTTATTAGCAGCCATTGACACCCTTGGGCTGGGGAGTCCCATGTATGCAAGCCTGGGTGAGACTCGGATTTTGGGGCTTGGTCTCGGTGAAGGTATTGGACCGGAGTTTCCGAAGCGACCAGGCGTGACTCTGGGAGATAGGTTAAATTGTTCCAGAGCCTGGGATTGCAGTTCTGTTGGGTAGTCTCTGACACACCCAATGCGAGGACCAACCCCACTTGTCCACTTGCAAGACAAACGCTTGGCCATGTTGAATGCTGGTGCTTCCACATTGGCTGCACTGGTGCCCATGCTACTTTGTAGACTTTCAATTATCGTGCATGCACCATTTGCGGGCCCATCAACATCCACAGCCTTTGAATCTGATGATTTTGTTCTTGCCGTTGGATCTCTCCACATGCTTGGATTCATCACCAGCAACTTTGTATGAGGTGTAGTCATCGTCTATTGCACATCTCTGCACTATTCTCCAAAGAGGAATCAGTTTTGGTTGCTAGCTATGAGGCTTAATTAAAGTCTAACGACTATTTTAGCTAATCACTTGCCAAACTGGAGAAAAGAAAGTTTAATGAACCAGAATGCATCATTACCTTAACGTTGCTCAAATGCACATTGTGTTCCTCAAGGAAAATAATGACTTCCTTGAAATTGTCTTCAGTTGGGAGATAATGACCACTGTAAGGCCAAATAGCCTGGACAAGAAGAGAATCATTTAGCATCAAACAAATTCCAAGGGAAAAATAGTTGTTGTATTGGTGTTTGCATTTCAACATATGTACCTCAAGAACTCCTTGAGAAGCCACCAATCTTCCAGCAGCTGTTTTAGCTCCTCCGGAAAGGAAACTTTGAGTGCTGAAAAACACCTTTTTTCTTTTGCCCAACATTCAAGGATCTTGATTTGCTAAGTACAAAAATCCACTTAGAACCCTCAAAGGGTGTTAACAAGCATTCCTAATTGCTTGTAAACAAGCATTCCACTTTCCACAATCACTTCAAATGCTTCCCTTTCTTTCTGGAGGCAATAAAACAGATATGGAAAAGAAATGTTAGAGAGAAATGGTGCAATAAACATGGGATAGAAGAAATAGAATTCACTGGACTAAGATATTTAGGCTATGTTTGGTATATAGGATAATGGATACGCTAAGATAATAATTATTTTATACTTTGTTTAGTTTATATATTAAAAAAAGGGTTAAGATTATAAGGAAAATTAATTATATTTTTGGGATAAATAATTTAATCTTCTTAAAACTGAGGTGATTATTTTTAATTCATAAGATTGAATTTATATTCTTATTACGCCTTTAAAAATTACATTAATAATTTAAATTATATAAAATTTGAGAAAAGATAATTTTGACAAAAAATTAAATTATCTTATCTTAATCCTTACATATATAAAAAATAAGATATAATGATATTATTTAATCTATTCCTATTCATAATATCATCTTATCTTATTATAATCTTATGTACCAAACACAAAATTAATGTATTGTCTTTGTCATTAGTTCATCATTAGTTACAGTTACTATTATAACCAATGATAATGGTTGTATTGATAATTTTATTCTCATGATTATTGTTAATTATTATAACATGTTAGTCATGATCTTATACTAACTACTATAACCCATTAACTAAGGGCGTATGATCATTATTATACTAACTATTATAATTAGTTAACCAAAGTTATAAAACTAGTTTTTGTGCCGATAATCTCACTTCCTAAAAATTCATTAATAGCTACCATAAAATCATTTTTTAAACATAAATCAATTTTTCATTTCATTTATAAACATGATCCATCATTTATATAGTAAAATACAAAATAATCAAATATTTGATCCATTCATATATTGAAAATAAAGAAATAAACATTCACTCATTTAGGATATGCATGTTTATATATATATATATATATATATAATGTGAAATTTTACTTGGTTTCCTTTCAATTTCACCACTTAATTTTTTTCCAAAATAATTAATTATCTACTCAAAGTCATTTCAACATACCAAAAATTAATCAATCTTTTTTTAGACCATTTATACTAAAAACAATTAAATTATACAAATGTTAACTCAACTAATTAATATTGACAACTTGAGCTCTTTTCACAAAAGACCTTATTTCAAGATATACAACTTGAAATTAATATATTTTTAATGCATTAGAAATTAAGCTTGATAAGCTTTCTAACCATGTATGGTTCATCTTGTAATTTCTTATAGATTAATTATAATAATTTTTGTAATTCACATCATATGTTGTTGTCAAACAGCATGTATACATTCTAATTAAAATTAAATATTTATTAATAGGAGACTTGAAATTCAGTTTGCTTATTTCGTTAAAAAGTAGACTCAATAAGCTTTTTAAAAATTTATGGCTCAATTCATAATTCGTTGTATAAAAATTAAGAAAATTTTTGTTATTCATCCTTATTGCTACCAAGCAACCAACACATGCTTAAGTAAGACAACTCTTCGTAAAGAACTTGAAATGGACTTCCATTTGTTTAGTTGGAAAGTAGATTTAACAAACTTTCTAATGATATATAATACTTATGGTAATAATTTATCCATTAATATAAAATTTCATTTTAATTGACTATTGTATAATAATAGCATTTTATTCAAAAACAAAATTTCTCCTTTAATTTTTAAAAACTCAAATATTCACATTCAACCTTTAAAATCCACTAAAAAATCATAATTAAATCTTAATAACATTAAATATATAAAACCTAATAATTTACCAAAATATATTATAAAGATTAATAAGAGATTTCATAAATTTTTTAGATTTTTCTCTCATAAACTTCAACTTCAAGTAATAATAGTCAACATAATATTTTTCTTAAATAAAGAAAAATGTACACTCACTTTTAAAAAATTAATTAAATTATAGCTTTTGATTTCGAATTCTCAGTTTGATTTTTTAAACTCCTTAACTCTAATGAAAATGAATAAAAATTCTTTTTTTTTATTCATGTTGAACAAAAATAACAAAGTTTTCACTAATAAAATAACTCAACCCATTTTTCTTTTAATAATTAATCTCTTAATTAATATAATGGGCTTTGATAATAATTTAACTCAATTGTCATTTAGGTTGAGGTATTACATGTATAAATTGAATTCTTTGAAAGCTGTCAGAGCAATTGGTACAGCTCAGACCAAATAAGATCTTTCATGATCAATGTGGAGTAGTAACTAATGAATTTCAGACCAAAAAACTTTGATAAGCCCTTCTTGGACATGCCGATCTTATTGCCATTGCAGCCTTTTGTAAAGTCAACATCCAATAAGTTTTTTTTTTTAAATCCCCGCTTAATCTTTTTATTTTCTTGGTGATACTTTTATATGTTCATATCATCACTTGTTCAATGGAATTAGTTTATGGAGAATGGTAATAAAAGAGAAGGATAAACATATAACTGCCTGCAACAATTGAAATAGATAGAATCATGTTTGCTACCTGGTTTAATTGTTACAGTTCATTGACAATTCAATAGAAATGAACAGAAAATGTTTTAGTCTGTTCTTTTTTCTTTGAGAAAGTAAAGTGTAACCTTTTCTCTTTCTTGCAAGATATAGCAGAGAAAATGATAATATGATTAAGACTACTCATAAAACATAGTTGACACGATTCTTTGAATTTCTTTGATCAACACAAATTATTATCAGCTTTTACTAAAAGGTACATCTCTGCAATATAAGTTTATATATATATATATATATATATATATATATATACACACATACTCACGTTCATGGCATTGTCAGAAGTCAGGACCATATCTGAAGGTTAGCCAAATGCGATAAACATCTTACCTACTTTCTCACAAATGCATCTGACATTTGGTTGCATCTATTAATTCATAAAAATGCTACATTATCTGATTACTGCAAAGAACTTCCACTTTCGTTCCTTTGCAAAATACAAGAAAAAGTTCAAAATGACCTACTGACCCATTTCTAAACATGACAAAACATGGACTGGGTACTGATAATTGGGCATGTGATTTTGGTGGAGCAAGTTTCATATGGGTAGACAACCTTTGATAATTGTAGCAGACCCAGAACTTTGTCAAGAAGTTGGAATAAAGAAGTTCAGAGATATCCCAAACAAACATTAGAAATAATGATTCAAATTTTATAAGAGATTTATTTGAGATTTATTAAAAATTTGTTTAAGATTTATTAGATATTATTTAATGGACAAGAAGACTTGTATAAAAAAATTCTAAAAGTAAAAAAATTTTTAATAGGTAAGTTTAACTTATAGAAGAAAAATTTTAAGAAAAAAGATATTTTTAATAGACAAGTTTGTATGGTTATAAATATGATAGTCTCTGCAGGGTTAGGTATGAGAAAATATGTAAAAGAGTTATAAATTTTATGGGTAGACACCCTATAAGATTACTAAAGATTTATGTCTTATGAGTGTGTATGTTTATTTGTGAGTGAACTAGAGGAGACTGAGAGTGTCCACATAGGTATGATGTATGAGTGCATATGAATATGTGTTTAGTTGTGTTGAAATGATGCATATGGACATGTGTCTATTTGGGTTAAAAATACTCTATAAGACCAGAAGAGATTGAGTAGGTCTATGGATATTGATTGTTGAGTGAGATTTGATTTGATGTATGTTTGTAATTCTCTATAACTAATAGATCTTATTTCTCATCCATGGACGTAAGTCAGTTGGATCGAATCATGTTAAATTATTGTCTCTTTTATGATTGATTTATTATTTGATTTCACCTCTACTGGTATAATTGGATTAAGATTTTTTGGCTTAACAAATGATATCAAGCTGAGGTGATTTTCAATAAGTGCTATTAGAGCATGGTTCAAGATATGAGAAGAGATAAGTTCCAGAAGAACTCGATTAAAAAAAAGAGTTTGAGTTCAAGTTTTGAGAATTGAATACCAGTTTGTATGAAGTGTGAAGACACACAAGAGAAGATGATTGTGAGACTTCCATTGTAAGTAGGCCAAGCATGTCTAGCGTAAAAATAAATAATTGATAAAATTTAAGTCGAGAAAAATTTTAAGAGAAAAAAGATTCTTAATAGGCAAGTTTGTATGGTTATAAATATGAGAAGTCTCTGTAGGGTTAGGTATGAGAAAAAGATATAAGAGAGTTATAGAGTTTTATGGATAGACATGCTATAAGACTATTGAAGATTTACGTTTTATAGGTATATATTTATTTATGAGTGGACTAAAAAAGACTGAGAGGGTCCACATAGGTATGATGTATGGGTGCATATAAGTATATATTTAATTGTGTGAAAATGATGCACATGAGTATGCGTCTGTTTGGGTTGAAAACTCCATAGGACTAGAGAGATTAAGAAAGTTTATGGGTATTGATTGTTGAGTAAGATTTGATTTAATGTATGTTTATAATTTTTTATAACTAGTGGATCTTATTTCTCATTCGTGGACTTAAGTTAATTGGACCGAACCACATTAAATTACTGTATCTCTCGTGATTGATTTATTATTTGATTTTACTTTCACTGGTATGATTGGATTGAGTTTTTTTGGCCTAACAACAGAAGCATTCCCTCACCAATCGCAGCCTCCCTACTTCATCAAAAGGGTCTCTTTTTTCACAAGGTACTCAAATCAAGTTAGCTAGCTAGGCCGATAGACAAACAATACAACTACAGTACTACTTTGTTTGGATAAATAATAAAAAAATAATTTATTATAATATATTTTTTAATTATAATTTTTTTAAATAAAATAATATATAATATACAAATATATTTTTATACTACTTAATTTATATAAA